AAAAAAAAAAGGAAGACAAGGAAATAAAAGATATAAGTTTAACTTCCTGCATTTGAAAAGATCTACTTGCACTGTAAGCAGAGGGAAACACAGGAGTCTGTGCTAACAGACCTGCTGAATGACTGCTGTCAAAGAAAACTGCTAGCTTCCTAAAATAGATCTCAGCAGTTTGTCAGGCTGAAATGGGCCAGGAGAGTCTGCTAGAAGAGGCATTAAAGTGAAAACTGTCTTCACTTACAAAAACCTCATCGCCTTTGCAAAATAAGTGTCGTTGCACCCTAGCTAGTAGATAGGTTTAAAGAAAAGGTAATCCCCATACATTATTTGGAGATAGAAAAAAAAAGTGTAGGAAAAAGATGGAAACGAAACAAACACATTTACCTTCTTCCTGACAAGGTGAGAAATATCGGTCACACAATTTGATGAAGAAGCACCGTCTGCTGGCTTTCTACTGGCAATCTGGCAAAAAAAGAAGCCTTCTTAGCACTGTACGGGCTACGGGACCAACACTGAGCCTTAATAGCAAATGACCAAGTAACACCTGAATACCCACCATGGAGACGGAAGAGCCTCCACTAGGAGTGAAACCTGAAGTAGAACTCTCCACCTGTGTGAGATAACAAACCTAAGTTGGTTTCAAGATAGAACCCCAGGCCACCGAGTCTTATAACAGGTACCTACCATGATCCAAGCAACTGATTAAGACCTGAAATGCCAGTAGCTTCTGGTCAGTATCAAGATCCTAGCTTCATCTGTACTTGTATACCCACCACCCAGGGCATAGGAAGATTGTAGATATTAAACTAACCCCCAAACTTGCAGGGTAGGAAGGTCCCTAATATCCCAGCAGCCAAAAGCAAATGAAAGGCACACAGTGGCTCACACCTATAATCCAGCACTCTGGGAGGCTGAGGCAGTGGATTGCTTAAGCTCAGGAGTTTGAGATCAGCCTAAGAGACCCTGTCTCTAGTCAAAACAACAAAACTAGCTGGGCATTGTGGCGGGTGCCTATAGACCCAGCTACTTGGGAGGCTGGCTGAGGCATGAGGATCACTTAAGCCTATGAGTTTGAGGTTGAATTCAGCTAAGATGATACCACTGTACTCTAGCCTAAAGCAACAGACTGAGACTGTCTCAAGAAGGAAAAGCAAGTAATTTGGGGTGAAAATTCCTCAGCGCTCATTAACCCATACAGAATTCTCAGAAATGGAAATAGCTTATATTCGTTAGGAAATTTCTATCTGTCCAGTACTGTCAGAAATATTTTATACATATACACTATAGGTTGAACATCCCACTCCTAATCAGAATATCCAAAACTTTTTTAAGCACTGACACAACACTTGAAGGAAATATTCATTGGTGCATTTCTGATTTCAGATTGGGGATGCTCAACTTTGGATTAGTGATGTTAGGTATAATGCTAATTTCACAATCCAAAACACCTCTGGTTCCAACCACTTTGGATGAGGAAATTCAACCTGTACATGTATTATCTTCACTTTATAGATGGGTCAAATAAGACACAGAGAAACACCCAAGGTCACACATAGTAACACACGAAATTTAAACTCGGACAGCCTACACTTCACAGCGTATTCTTTTAACCAATGTATTCTTTGACAAGAAAAATTAGATGAGCTTCATCAATTCCCTGGAAACCAAGTCATAATGAAAACTTCCTAGTAAATGGAACTTAACATTAATGGTATCAAACATGCTATTGTAAAAACTTTAAAAGGACACCACACTAACCAGAGTAGCTTTCAGAGCCAATTCAGCTACATTCCCACTACGCTGGGACTCCTTTGCATCTTCTATCTTCTCTCTAATTTCAGGTAGCAGTTCCTTCAGTTCCTCAATTTCTTTCTTATATTCAGTAGGTGATCCTTCAGCCTCCATCTGCTCCTTTAGTACTCCTGCAAAAAAAAAAAAAAAAAAAACAGGCTAATGTGATTAGTATGTTTCTGTAAGAAAGAACCATTATTTTTACCTGTCAGATGCTGAGTCCACCAACAGAGGCTGGTGTTCACTCACCCATTCTCTTCTCAATGACTTCAATAGACTTGCTGAACTGTGCCACAGCCTCATCATACTGAGAGTTGTACCCATAGGCCAAGCCCAGCTGGTAGTGGGTTTCTGCAAGGAGCCGGTTGTGGGCTTCCAAATACTGCTCCTGCAAGGTTAGGCAAGCCTGAAACTCCTCCACAGCTTGGATATAATTCTCTAATGAAGAGAAAAAGAACAGCCAAGTAAATAGACAGAATTTATTATAAAGAACTCCCAGAATTTCAGACTCACCCTACTATGAAGAATGTCAAAATGACTTCTAATTGAAATACTTCCAAATACAGCACCACTTAAGAGCATATTCATTGTTCCAGGGATTATAGAAAACCTAAACTTACTTTTTTTTGTTTTTAAAAAATGAGACAGAGCCTCTAACTGTCCCCCTGGGAAGAGTGCCATGGCATCACAGCTCACAGCAACCTCCAACTCCTGTGGTCAATGGATTCTCCTGCCTCTGCCTCCCAAGTAGCTGGGACTACAGGTGCCTGCCACAACGCCCAGCTTATTTTTTGGCTGCAGCCATCATATTAGTTTCCTGCCAGCTCAGGTGTTATGTAGCTGGTGCCTTAGCCGCTTAAGCCACAGGCACTGAGCTGAGCCCCTAAAACTTACTTTTTAAATCCAGTCAACTTACTTATAATCAATCAAGCTAGATTCCAAGGAATTTATTAGAGAACAAATAGAAGAGTACGGGAGTGGGGGTGGGGTGATGAGAAGAGAATGTAAAATGGAATATGAATTACCAGATTCAACACTAACTTCTCCGAGTTTAAGATGTGCCTGTGCAGCATAAAGCTGGGCTTCTTTTGTTTCTTGTCTAAAAGAAGAAAAATAGATCAGAAACCTAAATGGTACTTGTCTAGTCCTATCTGTTTTCTTTCCTTCCTTCTTTTTTTTTTTTTTTTGCCACAGTCTCAAGCTGTCACCCCGGCTAGAGTGCTGTGGTGTCACAACTCACAGCAACCTGAAACTCTTGGGCTCAAACGATCCTCTTGCCTCAGCCTCCCAAGTAGCTGGGACTACAGGCACCCTCCACAAAGTCTAGCAATTTGTTTTTCGGTTATAGTTGTCATCGTTGTTGTTTTGGTGCACCTGGGCTGGATTCCAACCCGCCAGCTCTGGTGCATGTGGCTGGCACTCTAGCTGCTTGAGCTACAGGAGCCAAGCCTTTTTTTTTCCTCTGTGACAAACTCTTACTTTGTCACCCTTGGTAGAGTGCCGTTGCACCTTAGATCACAGCAACCTCAAATTCTTTGGCTCAAGTGATTCTCTTGCCTCAGCCTCCCAAGTAGCCGGGATTCTAGGCATTTGCCACAACACCTGAGGTCTCAAAACTCCTGAGCTCAAATAATCTACCAAGCCTTGGCCTCCCAGAGTGCTAGGATTACAGGCAAACTCTCCAGTGATTCTCTTGCCTCAATCTCCCAAGTAGCTGAGACTATAGGCACCCGTCACAACGCCTGGCTATTTCTCACTCTGGCTCAGGCTGGTTTCTAACCCATGACCTCAGTCAGCTTCCTAAGTGCTACTTTCTATTTTCAACCACCAAGGCCCCAAACTGAGCACAGAAGCACCAAGTGTTTTACCTTTTGAAAATGATCTTTGCTAAATCCAGCATATCCCAGGCAAGCTCTAGGTTTCCAATCTCCTCCTCTTCATTTTCTTGAAGAGACTAACGTATATCCAAATCATTGAAATTAGGCACAAAGACAAGAAAGACATCTTTCTAGATTGCAAATCTAAATGTATAATTTAGTATGGCTTAGAAAAACCCAAACAGGAGCGGTGCCGTGGCTCAAAGCAGTAGGGCGCCGGCCCCATATGCCAGAGGTGGTGGGTTCAAACCCAGCTCTAGCCAAAAACTGCAAAAAAAAAAAAAAACCAAACACACATACACACAAAAAACCTGATATGCAATTCAGAACTTTAAGACACTCTCCCCTAGAACCTAGAGAACGTGTCCCCATCCTATTATCACCGTATGTCAGTGGTAGTTCACTGTGAAATTTGGGGTCATATAATAACAGACAGGACTCCCTGGGATCAAATATATCTGTCCATCCCACACATGAATAAAAGGGTCCCTAATCTCTAATCAAGAGATGTATCTATAGTTATCATGCCTATACTAGCAAGCTACAGTCCTACAATAAGAAAGCAGACAATTGTACTGAACAAAAACAACTTACCTTGTTTTCAATAACTAAATCGTTTGGTGTTTCTTCAGCCTTGTCATTTTCTTTATCTTCTTCTTCTGAGCCTTCAGTTTCTACAAGCAAAAATTCCTTGGTATTGAGAATAAAACTAAAGATATCTTCTCACTAGTCAGAGATTCCAATAAACATGTCAATCTATATTGCAAAACATGACAAGCCAGGTGCTAATAAATCAGTTAGCATCGGACTTGAATGTAAATCAGTGGTTACAGTCTACTTCAAGTCTAACCTAGCTTTTTTTAATGTATAACCTTATATTCTGTGAGTTAGACCTTCAGCAATTAAAAGGCTGATTGTTTCCCTTATGAAAGTCAACCTGGATCATTGAGAATGAGACAAATTAGCTACTGCTTTGTACTTGTTGGCTAGAAGCTCCCATCCATTCAACCAGAAGGTAGAGACCTTGCCCACTGTTTCTGGTATCTTTTAAGCCACTCATTACATAATATTAATAGCCTGACAAAGTACCAAAATTTAAAATATTCCAGTCCATTCACAACAAGAATGCTCAAGAGACTAGCTTTCCCATTAGAGAGCTATGGAGAAAAAACTAACTTTTTTAGTCCTTGCTAACTCTTACCAATGAGCATGCCGCAGACTCCAGCCAGCTCTAGCACATACAGAATTTGAGTGAGCAGTACCACAACTTATTTACTCCTGTACTTTATTAACAATTCCTTTTAAACCTGATGCCATACTGACATATACTCACAAGTCAAATGACTAAAGGTTTGGCTCCTAATAAATGGCTCAAAGGTGGCACCTGTACCTCAGTGAGTAGGGCACCCGCCACATACACCAAGGCTGGTGGGGTCAAACCTGGTCTGGGACTGCCAAACAATGACAACTACAACCAAAACATAGCTGGGCGTTGTGGCAGGCGCCTGTAGTCCCAGCTACTGGGGAGGCTGGGGCAAGAGAAT